GGGAGGGGTGGGGCAGGTAAGGTGGAGTGGTGGGGAGCAGCCCGAGGGGATGGGAGAGGGTCCTGCCTATGCTGCGCCTGGGCTGGGACTGGTCCCACCGGCGCAGGGTAGCAGGAAGCTCTCCACACACTCACCGGACCTGGGCTAGGACTCCCCACTATTACTTCTGCCCATATTCTTTTTATATCATTCGTATTGTCTCCTTCTTTCTCATTGATGCCTATTAGTCTCACATTGTTCATCTTTGCATCATCTTGCAGGTGATGAATTATTTTTTCCTGTATCCTAATTGTTTTTAAGAGATCCTTTCTTACCTTTTCAATAGCTGCACCAGCATCTTCAAGATCTGAAACTCTATCTTCCCTTTCACTCAAACAGTTTTGCAAGCTTTGATTTAGATTTTAAGTTCCTCTATATCTCTTTGACTCTGCTTCATGCAGTCTATTTCTTTCTTGTATTGCTCATTCAAGGAATCCATCATTTTTCTAATCTCTAATTTGTTTTTATCAATGTCTTCTTTAGAATCAGTTATTGATTCTTTTACTACAAAGATTTTTTTCAGATCAGTTTTCCTCCATATATTTCTGCATTTGATTATTTACTTCAGACACTATTAATTCAGAGATTTTTTTTTTTATTTCAGGGATTAATTCTGATCTGAGTTCCTCTATACGTTTATGTTGTTGTTTCTTTACTTCCAAATCTATCAATTCAGAGATTTCTTTTTTTTGTTTCAGGGATTAATTCTGACCTGATTTCCTCTATACCTTTCTGCTTTTGTTTCTTTACTTCAGATGCTATAAATTCATACATTGCACCTGAGCTAGTGTCCTCTGCACTTGTTCTGGGTGGGCTCGAGGCCTGAGATTGCATTTTGCTCCTTCTCTTTTTCATTTTGTATAGCAATGACCTCTGACTTTTGATGTAGAGATTTGGTGCAGTTATAACCTTAGCATTTACTGAAATTCAGGTGCAGATCTATTAAGTTAGAGTTTATCCAGTTGTGCCTGGCTTGGGTCTAGCTGTTGTGCTCAACTCCTTCCTGCTGCAATCCTTGGAAGTGAACCTGTGATGCTCTTCTGTTGTGCCTCTGGCCCAGGGGGCACAACAGAGCACAGAAGCTCTCCCACACACTACCTGGGACTGGTCTTGGGCTTGGTCTGTGAGGTTCCAAGAGCACAGCAGAATTTCTCACTCATTTGGTGGGCTTGGGAGATGTGCTCCAGAGGGTTCGAGGGGTCCTGAGGACATGACAGAGGGTCTCACTCCCATGGCATGCCTGGGTTTTGGCCCAGAGGGTTCTTTTTATTTTTGCTCCAAATGCCTTCAGGACAGGTTTGGCTGGCTTGAGTTGTGGGGATCGAACCACAGCAACCTGAGCCTGACTGCTTTGTTGAAGCAGCCACTTAAAGAGCTTAGCTAAGGGGCAGGCCCCCAAAGATGTTTACATTTCTAATACACTGAACATTGAAAGAAAACTGAACAGCAGTAAGAACAATTTATACATACTGTTTTAGTAAATTGGCTTCTAAATTATAGTCTCTTTTATGTATTTGGTATGTGGTCTATAGGGTCTCACTACATAGGTCAGACTTGTAGTGATTCTTCTATTTGCAGCTTCCCAAGTGCTGGGATTATAGGCACATGCCATCATGCCCAGTCTCACCTTCTTAGTAAGCCTCAGGGGTGGGTCCGGAACTGCATGCCAGGCGATTGCACTTTCTGCAAGCCCCTGTCCTTTCCCTAAGTAAGTGCCTGTTGTAGTCAGCTGTGCTATCTGGCCAGCCCTTTTAAATTATAGTCTTAAGAGCTGAAACACGCTCCATTCACACAAGCTTTAGTACAATGAAATTATAATTTGAAAAATTCTGCATTATGTATGTATGTTATCAATAAAATTAATAAAATTCATTTATAGTTTGACTTTTGTGAAGATTTTTCTGAGTTACAAATGTACCCAAATTATGAACAATGCTTAATCTAGGTTTTCTTTTTTCAGTCACAAATACAATCAGAGTCAATACTCCATTGACCCCGAGCTGGCCGTCCTTTCGTACTTCCAACCATCCGAGGGTGTATCAGATATGTCTTTTTCGAAAAGTGCAGACAGCAGTACACAAATAGAGAGAACCCCTTCAGACCTGAGACAACCAAGGACAAGAATGCCTGAAGATATAGCAGAACCGGATTTGGCAGTCCAACCTGAGGAGTCGGAGTTGCTCATCAATGAGGAAGCAAATGAAGCCGCCAATGAGGGAAACGACGTCCAATAGATACCATCCTCTTGTGACTAACCAATGATTTCTATCTTTGGCGCTAATGTTATAATTTTGAAACTACTGAGACATTCACATTTTCTGGAGTATGGGCTTCTCATCACTCAAAAGCAAATAATCATGACGCAGAAATTGGTATGGAATCAGATTTATTCAGGGGCAAATAACTTGGAAGACAGAGAGGAGGTATTGTCCTCTAGGCTCTCTCTCAGGAAATTCAGGGTACAAATTGCCTTTAATAAGCCAAGAAGAGGAACTGGGCAAGAAGTTCATGTGCTGAGGAAGTTTTCAGAATCCTGGGCCTGTCTTTTAATTTTTTTGGAATATCCCAGTGGACCCAACTACCTTGGGTTATTTCTAATTGTTTCTAGATAGACATCTTTTCCAAGTTAAACTGCATAGGTGTTTGCATGCTTCGTTTTAGCTGAGGAACAAGATAAAAGAGCAGGAAAGAATATCACATATCCTGGTATTGTCTAAAGATCCTTCAATGTTCTAGGTTGCATAATTCTAAAGAAAGATTTTTTAGTAGTTAACACCTTAATTGAACTTTTTAGGATGCTGAACAAAAGACAGGGGATGTCAGAGGGATTAAGAAGGGGAAACTATATTGTGCAGGGATAAAGGAAGTGGCTGTGAAAGGAACACTGCTGAAGATAACTCTCAGACTAATGGTAATGTTATAATGCCCCACTGTGGGTCATGCTTTCATTTCCATGGGAAACTGGGAGTTAACCATATTCTGGTTACTTCCTGGTGAAGAGGAGTGAACACTGGGGACTTGTGTATTGGCTTTGACATGGGGAAATGCAAGCTTGTTAATTTGCATGTTTCTCCCTGTAGGGAAGTGGTAGTCAAAGTTATTTTTCCCTGTAATTTCTATATGTGTCATATGATACTTTTAAACCCTAAATGGACTCATTATTATGAATTTTAATCCTAATTTTAAAATTCCTTTAAAAATAGGTCTGTTCTCAGTAGTCTTAGAAATTCTTTTCTAATTCCTTAGAAAAGCAAGGCTTGATGCTCCAAAGTCTATTGGACCCATTGGAACCTGTTGTCTATTTTAAGTTTTGGTCTAATTTTATTAATTCTAATTTCTACTTTGGACAAAGTATTTAATGTATAAGTAGCAGGATGTATCAACAGTTAAACAACTAGTCCATGTCCTCCCAAGCCATTATCTAAGGACATTCTGTCACCCACTACCATTTTTTCCTTTTGCGGTCCTGGGGATTGAACCCAGGGTCTTCACATAGAGCTTCATCCTTAGCCCTTTAAAAATTTTTGTTTTGTTTTGTTTTATTGAAACGGGGCTTGTTATGTAGTAGAAGCTGGCCTTGAACTCACTATGTAGCCCAGGTTAGCCTCAAACTCATGGCAATCCTCTTGCCTCATTGTCCCAAGTGCTGGGATTATAGGCACATGCCACTATGCTTGGCATGCAGTTTCATTTTTTCTTTTTATTTTGAGACGAAGTCTCATTAAGTTGTCCATACTGGTCTTTAACTTGTAATTCTCGTGCCTCAGCCCCCAGAATACTGGAATTACAATTGTGTACCACTATGCCCAGCTATATAACACCATTTTTGCCAAAGAGACTAGAGATTCATATCCTCACAATTACAATTTAGTTATGTGTCCTTTTGAAAAAATATCTGAGCTTCTCTCCTAAGGTGCAGTTCCAGGCAGGAGCTGTGAGGGGACTGAAAGGATGCCCCACCTGTGGATGTTGCTTCACTCTGCAGAGAGATATCTAAGGCTTCTGGGAGCTCCTTTCCATGAGGAAAAGGGCAGGGTGGCTCATCAAGTGGGTGGGCCAACCGGGGAAGAGCAGACTAATGCAAGGCAGCTATAGCAGATCTAACATGTTATCATCTAATATGTCTTTAAATCCTGGCTTCACATCTAATTTAAAAGGTGAGTCACCTAACAAAAACATTACAAAGTGTTTGTCATACAGTTTTAAAAAGACTTAATTTAAACCCAGCTTTGGGTTTCAGCCTAATGCAGAGCAGTACACTGGACAAGACCTTGTCCTTCTTTTAAATGTGTCTCTTGACAAAGTTTAGCCAGAGCCCTCTTAACATATGACTTATGTTTTCTGTTATATCTTTGGATTTCATTCTCTATAATGATGCAGTTTCCAAGTTAATTGTAAAGATTTACTCATCTTTTGGGTGAGTAGAACCAAATGGTGACTCATTTTCATTTTAAATAAACTCCAGTACTCAAAACCTGGGAATAATTTCTTTGAGCAAATGTTTAGTCATGTCAGTTGTCTTCTCAGTTTTAACAGAGTACACCTCTACCCTGCAGAAGTAAACACAAAATGAGATATTATTGCAGAAATTTCTCAACTATGAACTAAGTGAGCCTTGCAGATCACCCAGTAATACTGCACTTCTGCCTTTAATGGGACCTGATACAGATGTGGATTTGTTCAAGATTTGGGAGCTTTTATAATGTTGTGTACATGCCAGGATTCTGAGGAATTGGGCTGTAAGTGTGCCTCCGTGGTAGCCTCTGGAAAGAAGAAAAGGTTTTCTGACAGTGTCCCCATAGTAGTGGCTTTGAATTCTTCCAGGAGGATACCTAGAAGGGGAATGGAATGATGGAATAGGACCTCTAAGCCTAGGATTGAGGAGTCCTCACACTGATTCCCACAGTGGTTGCACCAGCCTGCGCTCTACCCATGGTGCGGTTGGACACTGCTTTCCAAATCCCAGCAGCCAAATAAACCAAAACACATTTCTGGAAGGTACCCGGAAGTCACTGACCCTTCCAGGTTTACTGAAAGAGAAATTGAATCCACCTTTGATGCCTAGGATAACTCTCACTCTCATCCTGGCTCCCGTCACCTTCCTTCAGAAGATTGTCCTCCCATTACATTGTTGTGGTACTTTTAGTTTTACTTTTCAAATTTTTATTAGCATATGGTTGTGACACATAGCAAATGCATTCATCACGGGAAATGAGTGCACATCTGTGCCACATTTTGGTCTTTTATCCTCCCCCTGCACCCCTGTCTCCCCAATCGTAGATCCCCTTCCCATTGCCACAAATTCTAGCTCCCATTTCCTAACATCTATCTTTTATTTCCTCTTCAAATTACTTATACTTTGTTCCTCGTATAAGAGAAATCATACAGTATTTACCCTTCTATACCTGATTCATTTCATTTAGTAGCATGTTCTCAAAAGTGCATACATTTTCCTACAAATGAGTTCAGTTGTCTAATAGAGAATGAATGCTAAACTGAAAGACTGTGGAATCCAGAGAGAGCTTATTGCATGACAAGGAAGCATGTATGTTTTCAAAATGTGTGGGTTCAATAAAATAAACTGAGAGTCCTAAGAAACACAACTGGACTTCGTGTCACATCTTAAATCTGTTGTTTGGGAGAAGGGAATGGTGTTGAAGTTGTCTCACAAATGATGCTGGGAGTTGTGTCTCGCAAAGAGTGAAGAGGGTCTGATTCGCAAACTGAACTCCCGGAAGGGGCTGCCAGGCTGCTATGGGCAGCTGCTGCATGGAGCCTTTTGTCTTGTCGTGATCCTGGGTTTTCTCAGGAGTGTGGAAGCTGTCTCAAAGTTAAAAAGGACTTTTGTTCTGGACTTTTGTTGGTTTGTTGATTCTCAGAGTTTTAAGATAGTGGGGAGCAGTGTTTATTTTGTGTCTGAGGTATTCTTTAGACTGAGAATCTTTAGACTCATTAAATGAAGGACAGGCCAGTGCTTTAAGTAATTGTTCTTGAGGAGAGGTAAAAGCCTATGACATTGCAAGCATCTGAGTAAGTTGACAGTTAGCTGTTTGAACTGTTCCAGATTGTTGCTGTTTGGCACTAAAGTGGTGAATAGCTTATGTCCAAACTATGTTTATTCAACATAGAGTAATAGCTAGCTGTAAGCCAAACTGGACCATTGATATATAAGAGATGGCATCAAAACATAGGGTAAATTTTTAATAAAATGTATTACAGCACAAGGCATTGCCGCTAATCCCCCTCAAATTATGACCCCTTCTTTTGAACACAAGATCTCATCATTTTTGCAGTTCTCTAATGCAGTTTTGGAAGGTGTCTTTCGGAAGTGACTTCAGTTGCTCTGTTGTGACTGTCTCAACATCCTGAGCTGATTCAAAATGTTCACCCTTCATGGTCTTTTTGACTTTGGGGAAGAGCCAGGGTCACACAGTTCCAGATCCAGTGAGTCGGGCAGATGAGGCCATGCTGTAATGTTTCATAGGTCTGCTTTTCTGTTAGACGGCCCTACTCTGCAGTTATCACTGTAGTCTTATCAACCTTGTAAACACTTGTACAAATGAAAAAGTGATTAAACTGCTTCAAAAAGTGGCAAGAACATGGGATAAATGGATTTGAAGGAAAGAAATTTATTGCAAAGGAGAACTTATGACAATGTGTTTTTTACTGTAATAATATTTTTACATTGAAGCACTCATTGCATGTTTTGATCACCACAGTCACTATAATCAGGCCTGAGTGTACTTTCCATCAGTCAGAGGAATGAGCTAGACATTTCAAAGACATGAACAGTGATCATTAGTAACTTCTCATTTATTTTCTAAGAAATGATCACTTAATAAACAGTTCCTATATTTAAAATTGTTTATCAGAGATAATATCCAGGGACGAAATTACCTGCCCAGCATATACTAGAATCAGAATTGTATCCTAAGTCATTTTGAAGATAAAATTTATTTTCCAGTGACAGCACTAGGTATGACTATGGAAAGACTAGAAAGAATAATAATAATAATAATAATAATAATAATAATAATAAAGCTCCAAAATCCTGAGCCAGTAAAACACGTAGAAGGAGGAGAACAGAGAGCCTCTCCAGACTTATAGTAGCACTTCAAGAAGATACTAAAGCCCTCTGGCCTTCCTCAGTCAAGATCTTCCCAAAGTTATCTTACTCCAAGGGAAATGCACATGCATGTATGCACACACGCACAGGTGTGCACACATGCACACACACACACACACACACACACACACACCCCTGAAGTTTATAATAAAGACATTGCT